ATATATATACGCACTCACTCACTTACATACCCTCGTATGTTTATGTGTGCCTTTTCCCCTTCAAGCATCTCTCTATTTTCATTTTATCTCTTTGATTACCCAAGAACATGACTAAGTTTATCGTCGAACCTCTTTTCTTTAAGAAGACAGACCGTTCGGTTTTTACAGATTCGTGTTTGTCTTGGGATATTCAAGTTCATGTAAGAAAGAACCAGCTTGACTTAATGTGTTAGAAAAGAAGAAGAAGAAAAATAGCCTTTGTTAATCATGAGTATGTGCATGCATGTTGAAACTAGGGTTTTGATTTCTGATCTAAAAATAAATTCATACCTTGAAAGGTTCTTGAATTTTACATGGTCAACAACTCATTAATTAATCATTTATTTGTTTACCTTGATGTAATTTGTGTTCTTGATTGTAATGATAAATTAGGGCAAAGAAGAAAAAAGAAGCATCTTTGATTTGCATAGAGAAGAGTGTTGATAATGGAGTTGGGGTCGTCATCAACGGTGGCCGGAGGAGGACAGCTTTCCGTGCCTCCGGGATTCCGGTTTCATCCAACGGAGGAGGAGCTTCTTTATTATTACCTCAAGAAGAAAGTTTCTTATGAACCAATTGATTTGGATGTTATTAGAGAAGTTGATCTCAACAAGCTTGAACCTTGGGAACTTAAAGGTAAAATTTATAATCCACTTATAGTTAACTCTTAAATTTAGTCCTTAACAACTACAAGTATCACCTAGTCCACACATTTAATGAAGATTATTGTTTCTTGATCAGTATATTATATAGACAATCACAACTAACATCATAGTTATATTTCTAATTAATTCTATTTAGAGCGAGAGAGATGGGATAGAATTTTTTTTGGAGAATGTTATTGTTGGCCTGCACAAGACTACAAGTTAGATGTCAATGGACAAATACATAGATTGTGGAAATATTGTCTTGGGTTTTGTCTGTGTCTCCATGGAAACATGCATCGACTTATAATGTCTTTTTAAGTTTTTTTCAGTTCTCATCTTGATAGATTATTTTCCAGTTTTTATGGAACCATGAAACCTTATACGTCCGTGTGTGTATCTATACATCAAGAAAGAGACAAAGTTGTCTATTAACTCATGTCTTTTAGATTAGTAACAGAAGACAAAAGTGTAATGTCTTGTAGTATATAACAAACGAATATTGATATAATATTATTATGTATTATACCCTTAAAATAAGCCAATGGTTTTTCACATTGTAGACATATAACAACCCGTACTCGTAAGCCATGTATATTTTTATATATTTGTGACTATAGTTAACAAGTTTCTTTTCTTTCTTTACATTGTATAAATAATAAGTTTTGTTTTTGTATGTATTGTAGAGAAATGCAGAATCGGGTCGGGTCCTCAAAACGAGTGGTACTTCTTTAGCCACAAGGACAAGAAATATCCGACTGGGACACGAACGAACCGGGCCACTGCAGCCGGGTTCTGGAAAGCTACTGGTAGAGACAAATCCATACATCTCAACAGCTCCAAGAAGATTGGACTTCGTAAGACTCTTGTCTTCTACACCGGTCGTGCTCCTCATGGCCAAAAAACCGAATGGATCATGCACGAATATCGCCTCGACGATAACGAAAACGAAATCCAGGTACATTTTTTTAATCAGACAAGCTCTCTAGTTTTATGAATATAGAGATCATAATTTGCATAATGTGGACCAATTGTGTGTGATTTGCAGGAAGATGGGTGGGTTGTATGCAGAGTGTTCAAGAAGAAGAACCATTTCAGAGGATTTCACCAAGAACAAG